GGCTCAAGGAAACTGCTTGAGACAGAAGTCATCTGCGATGCCTGGCATTTTCTGGAATCTTGGAGCCATCATCTTATGCTGTGCAGAAAATCATTTGAGGAATTTGCTTTTATTTTTATGCGTTTCGACAATATCTGTGCAGATAAATGGCGATGCCTCTAAGGTTCATGCGACCATGCTTTTGTTGGTTAGTTGTTATGTGTTCAATGAAAGTCATGCCAAAGTCAAAGCTCCTTCGCCAATATTCGCTCTATGAAAGAGGGGAAGAGACTTGGAAATATTCCAGTGGTAGCAACTGCTTGCAACACCCACTGGCAAGATTGTCGATGGCTCCCTTTTTCGAATGCTGCATACAGACAGACTGACAGCGGGTTTGACTTCCTAACATGAGCCAAAATCAATTTTCCATCGAAACCAATGAGCAAATTGTAAAAAAGGTGTCCTGAGGCAAGAATGGCTTCAGCTTGTTAGCCTCTCCCAAATCGAAGACGCTGTGGAAAAAGTTCAGATCTGTAACTTCTCTAATTTTCGAGCTGCAAAATTGTTTGAATTTAAATCTTAAATTAGGCGCAAGGCAAACAAGGACCTGAAAGCTTACTCTCTTGCGACCTCTCACATAGTCGAGGATTCTGTAGATTTTCTAGCTTTTTGAACAAACAAACGCGCAAGTGCATAGAGATGGTTAAGCACTAAAGCGCTCCTGTCTTATCAAAAGCAAAAGTGATGAAACAAACATGAATGCGTACGTTTGGGATTTTTGCCTGGACGATTCATGTTTAGAACTGTGAAATTGGATACTTTAACTAAGAACATAGCTTTCAGCTGTGTATAGAACTACAAACCTAAAAACAATTTGTGTGTTTTGTTCAGCCCAGTCTACGTTTGCCTGATAAGAATTTTCACACTAGTGTGTGCGGAAGTGGTCGATATGCTATCTGGTTCCTAAGCTGTTAAATATCTCACCAAAAATCAAGCGTATCGGTACGCGAGGCAGCATAAGTGAAAGTTGAGTTTAAGACCTTAGATTGCACATGGACGGAGAACATCCTTTCAAAATTTCAACTTCCTAGTTTTTTGGTTTCCGAGTGGCCTTCGCGCCAAAGCTTCTACGCAGTCGAATTGTGACATCGGCATATAGGTAGTCAAATTTGAATTCTTGGGGTTCCTGTATAGGCAGAAAGCCTCATTCTGAAATTCTAACTTCCTGGCTCTTCTCGCCGCTGAACTAATAATTTTCCCATCAACAGCCTTCATGGACGCGTACGTGGAACTCAAGTGTAAGAAAGGGCTAAATTTAAATTTTATTCTAATAGATGATATTTTCCTAAAATTTCAGCTTCCTAGCTTTCGTAGCTTCCGAATTGAAAGTGTGGGACAAAATGCGCATCCATACCACACACAAACAGAAAAGAAAGGGGTGTGAAAATATGTATTTGTTATTGCTGTTACATACCACAAAAAGTATAATTAATAATTAAATATTGTACGGGAAAATGATTGTAAAAATTGACAGTGGCAATGGGGAAGTGTGACAAAATATTTCAACAGGAGTGCTTCCGCCAATTCATTACCATTAATGCTTGCCGAATTATCAGAAATGTGTTGCAAGGCAAAGACGGTGTGTCCAAACTTTTCTTTGTTTTATTTCCTTTTTTATTTCGGTATGTTGCAGGATGAAATTTATTGCGCAAATACTTTGCCCGTAATGTTCACATTCGGTTGACACCATGCATTACAGAGTGGTGCAACAGAGAAAAATTCTACGAACAAATCTGGAAGAATCATGCTCAATGTACGCAAAGTTTCTTTCCCGGCACTTCCGGAATTTTTTCTCTTGAGAAATATGTTGGAAAATGCAATGGACAGTATATGTGCGCCCTATTTTCGAGAGCTGCCCGACTCGTGCGGCTTCCGAAGAGATGGCGCAAATACATCAAACAAACAATGAGTATTGACTGAAGTTATGCTGCCCGAAGTCGAAGAGCCTAAAATATGTTAGAATTTCGAGATTGCCCAGATGAATATTGTAGACGTTCCAAAAGCTAATAATGTTACTGAGGTGCTTGCCTGGTGCAGCTATGTCAGGCTCTTCTATCCTGGGCTTCATACATCCATTTAGCACTTACCGCTTTCAGGACATATGTGCGCCATCTATTCGGAAATTGCGCACATGTATCCTAGAAACGAGCGGTCGTTTACGTTCTAGCGGGTATTGCTCATGAAATATTACATGATTGGGAAAGTACATATGTTGAGGGACTGTAGAACAGGACGCGGTAACGCTCACCGGCTGGTTGCGTTCAGGTTGCTACATTGAGAGACCGAGGAATCCA